CAAAGAGCTGCTTACACTGACTCTCATACAAATGGATTATACAGTATGCATCTTTTGTGTCTGGCATCTTTTCTTCAGCATAATGTCTGTAAGATTCATCTATTTCATCATGTATATCAGTAGTTTGTTCCTTTTTATTGCTGAGAAGAATTCCATTTAATAAATATACCAAAATTTATTTATCCATTCTCCTGTTATTTATTTTTGGCTGTGTTGGGTCTTCGTTGCTGCGCACGGGCTTTCTCTAGCTGCGGCGAGCGGGGGCTACTCTTCATTGCGGTGCACGGGCTTCTCATTGCAGTGGCTTCTCTTGTTGCGGAGCACGAGCTCTAGGCGCGCGGGCTTCAGCAGTCGTGGCTCGTGGGCTCTAGAGCGCAGGCTCGGTAGTTGTGGTGCACGGGCTTAGTTGCTCCGCAGCATGTGGGATCTTCCCGGACCAGGGCTCGAACCCGTGTCCCCTGCGTTGGCAGGCGGATTCTTAACCACTGCGCCACCAGGGAAGCCCCTATCCATTCTCCTGTTGATGAACATTTGGATTGTTTCCAGTTTAGGACTATTATGAGTAAATCTGACGTGAACATTTGTGTACAAGTCTTTATGTTTCATTTCTCTTGGATAGTAACTAGGAGTAGAACTGCTGGATCACAGGGTAAGTATAGGTTTAACTTCTTGAGAAACTGCACAACAGTTATACAAAACCATTGTCCCATTTTACCTTCTCTCCAGAGGCTTAAGAGAGTTCCAGTTGCTCCTGACAGTTTCCTTGCTTGACCAACATTTAGTCAGGCTCCTGAACCTTCTCCTAGGACCATCTGTGCACTTGTAAAATCTAGTTTTAACAAGAACCGCCCACCCTTGATATCTGATCACCCTCAATATCTGGTCAGGTTCTTCATCCTCCACCATCTCCCAGGTGTTGTCTGATCATCCTGGCCTGTCTTCAGCAAGAATCCTGTTACATCAGTTTAACAAAAACTCTCCTTACCCCTGATGTTTCCTCTTAGTAATTTTCCATCCACTCCCCTGTTCCTTAGCTATAAATTCCCACTTGCACATGCTGTATTTGAAATTGAGCCAAATTTTTCTCCTCTGGTGCAAAATCCCATTGCAGTCATCCTTATACTTACGGCGATGGTCCTAAGTAAAGTTTGCGTTATCATCTTTAACAAGTGCCTTTAATTTTTTTTTTTTTAACATTCCACAACCTTACCAACACATGGTGGGTCAATCTTTAATTTTAGCCATTCTATCCAGTGTGCAGTGGTATCTCACTGTGACTTTGATTTGCATTTCCTTAATAACTAATGATTTTTAATGAGCTCTTTTTCTTGTGCTTTCTGACAATTTATCCTTTTTTAAAAAATATTTATTTACTTATTTATTTTAGCTGCGCCAGATTTTAGTTGTGGCACGTGGGATCTTTGTTGCGGCATAAGGGATCTTTTTTTTTTTTTTAAGTTGCAGCATGCGTGTGGGATCTAGTTCCCCGACCAGGGATTAAACCCTGGCTCCCTGCATTGGGAGCTCGGAGTCTTAGCCACTGGACCAGCAGGGAAGTCCCTCATTCATACATTTTGACATAAATGTTGCAATGATTAGAAATGTGTCCTAGAGTATCACATTTTGAACTAAAATCTTCATTAGTCTATTCAGCCATACATTAAAAAATATTTATTGGGTGTCTACCATGTGCCATGCACTTTTCTAGGTTCTTTAATCAACTGTGATTAAAGACAGATAAGATCTTTGCTCTTGTTTGAAGAGTTAATATTTTAGAGGGGAGAGACAAAAAGTAAACTGGAAGCAAACAAGTAAGATGATTTTTGACAGGGTGGGAATGCTCACTTAAGTTATCAATTAATAATAAAACATGGAAAAAACCTATATCCCTAACGGGGGGAGGGGAAGAAAAGGGACTTAGGTAATTTACGTGATATGAGACTGACGGACTACAATGACATTAAATCGACAATTGACTTTAAAAAATACTTAGCCGTATAAAAAGTCAAATTTAAAATTGTATGTGTACTTTGTTTAGGACTATGTAAAACACCTGTGCTACGATGCATATGTACAGAAATTAGAAGGCCCCAGAAGGTAAAGAAAACGCTGGGGGCTTTTTTGTTTTTGTTTTTGTTTTTTGTGGTGGAATTATGGGGGTTTAAGGCGTTTGGTTTCGCTTTCTTTTTTGCTGTCTTACACGTTATCTCGTTCGTTAACAGCAGAAAATGGCATCATATAGTTTTCTCCTAGGACTTTGTGCAAGGCTTTACAGCTCAGAGACTTAACACATTTATTATGAGACGTGGCAGACGTAAAAATAAAATTTAGGTTACTTCAGAGCGACGTAAGGCAAAGAAGTGAGGTCTACGAGTTTCACCCCATAGAACTTACGGATTTCCAGGCACGATGAGGTGGCTCCCGGGGAAGTCCGCAGAAAAAGCGGGTAAAGGCACAAGGAGTGGAAGCGGGACACGACAAGTGGAAGCGAAGCCCGACGTTAGGCCCTGCGTGCCGCCGCGCGGACGGTGACGTCTCGCCCCGGGCGGAAATGACGTCACCTTCGAGCATCGCCGCTTCCGGTCCGCGTGAGTGTGGTTCTTTCGCCTGCAGCGAGTTTAGGACTGGTGTTGCTGTGCGTGCGGTTGTGTGTTTCGCCAGTCGGCCTTCCTCCTTCGGGACCATGGCCACCGATTCGTGGGCCCTGGCAGTGGACGAGCAGGAAGCGGCTGTCAAGTCGGTCAGTGGCTTCAGCTCCAGGCGGGGCGAGCGTAGTAGGAGGGCCCAAGCCGACCCTGCTTGGAGTCCAGGGAGCTCCCTGGGTTGGGCAGGCCGTGGCCCACACACCCCTAAAGGTTTGCTGGGAGGAATCTCTTAGCCTTGATTTGCGGCTAAGGCAGAAGAGACCAGTATGGAGCCTTTTCCTTTGATCTGGGCCAGTTAAAGACTTTTATCCTGTGGCAAATCTGTCCCTGCTATGTATGCTGTCTTTTCTGCACTGCACCTCCTCAGTGGGGATTGTAAGAAAAGGCGCAATGCTGATTCTCTTTTTCATCTGGTTTCTGAGTGATTGTCTGCTACTCTTACTTTAGCATTTTTTAGATACGTGCTTAACACGGTTGGCGGTTTGTAGCAATTTGCAGATTCAGGTTTATATTTAATGTTTCAATCTACTGCAAACGGGGGGAGGCACTACAAATTGTTTCATCTGTGTTTAAAGAGACATTTAATATCATATACTGGTTCTTTGATTAATGAAGATCCATTCAGTGGGAAGTTAACTATAGTGTAAACTGTAACTCCCCGTTCTTATCTCTAAGTTACCTTTGTTTGGTGGTAATGGACCATTGATTTTAAGAATATAGGGGTTTTTTGTAGTCAGAAGTCTTTCCCCCCACCCCCCCTCGGTGCGGCATGAGGGGTCTTAGTTCCCCGACCAGGGATCGAACCTGTGCCCCCTGCAGTGGAAGCGTGGGGTCTTAACCACTGGACCGCGAGGGAAGTCCCGTGTAGTCTGAAGTCTTATGTAGTCTTTTAATGCCTAAATTACATTTCTTCTCCGGTCACCCTTTATTGCTTTGGGAGGATTGTCAGTTTCTCAGCAGATAGTTGAAATGGGCTAAATCCAGGGAAGTTTAGGAAGAAGCTTTACAATCTAGTTAGGAAGCCTAGAATGTGGGAGGTGCTGTGAAAATGGTAAGAATAATGTGAGAAATGAACTTTGAATGGGGAGAGGATGTTTATGAGTAGGAAAGTCAGGGAAATTCCTCGTGAAGAAGTTTATATTTGTGCTGGATATTAGAAAATAATCATTTAAGATAGAGATGAAGGTGAACGGCATTTTAGAATAGAATGCACAGAAGTGCTGGACTTGCCTAGAGAACAGGAATCAGAACTCATTTTTGCTGCAGCTTAAGGTTATCGGGTTGTAGTAGGAGCAGTACTGAAAATATCGTAGGAGTGTACTTTGGCCCTTAACAAAGAACTTGAAGATGAAAGGCTTTATTTGGCTTGTTTGAGGGTTTTTTTTTGTTGTTGTTTTTTTTGCGGTACGTGGGCCTCTCACTGCTGTGGCCTCTCCCGCTGCGGAGCACTGGCTCCGGACGCGCAGGCTCAGCGGCCATGGCTCACGGGCCCAGCCGCTCCGCGGCATGTGGGATCCTCCCGGAACGGGGCACGAACCCATGTCCCCTGCATCGGCAGGCGGACTCTCAACCACTGCGCCACCAGGGAAGCCCTGTTTGAGGGTTTTTAAGAAGATACTGACAATTAGATCTGAGAGCTAGCAAGATTTATTGGACTGTAGAGAACAGAATATATTAGGAGTGATGTCTAAAGGAAAGGAGATCAATGTGGAAGTTACTCTCATAGCCCAGAGATAGGGGGCCTATGTTGAATGATGAAAGTAAAGATGAGGGGATGGATTCAAGAGATAATTGTGGAGGTGTGAAGATTTACAAAAAAGAAGAGAAGGGAGATAAAGGCAAAGATTACTGTTTTCAACCTGGATCCCACAAGGTGGTATTAATATAGTGCTAATAACAAGATTGGGGAGTGGGAGGAACAGCAGATTTGATATGTAGGGTGATGAGTTCATGTTTGGCTGTTCTGAATTTGAGGTAAGGAGGACAACTTGGTAAGTACCTGTGTTGGGAATCACCAAGAGGTGTCCAGGTTCAGTGATTTCCTGGGAGAACTCAGGACTCAGCATATGATTGTACTCACAGCTGTGATTTATTACAATGAAAAGCAAAATTAGCAAAAGGAAAAGGCCCGTGTTGCAAAGTCCAGAGGAAACCAGGCACAAGCTTCTAAGAACCTTCTCCCAGAGGAGTCACAAGCTCCACTTAATTCCTGCTTAATTCCTCTAGCCACAGATTGTAACAACACATATGAAGTGTTGTCAGAGAAGCTGGTTGGAGACTCAGTGCTCAGGGTTTTTATTAGGGGTCTATCACATCGTCATTCTTTGCCTAGCAGGTACCAATATTCCAGACCCCTGGAAGGAAACCAGGTGTTATCATAGACCACATGTTTTTAGAAACAGTTAGTGAACCCCTCAGAGGTTCTGGGAATGGTGGGAACTCTCTCCAAATCCAAGTTTCCAGGTGTCAGCCAGGGGCCAACTTTGCAAGCTGGCTTTCCTAAGGATAGCAATCAGACCTGCTGTGATAACTCTTTTCTATACAGTGCCCATCAAGCATTTGGAAATGCGGCACTGGAGTTCAGGAGGAATCAGGTCAGAAGTATAAAACTGACAGCCACAAATAAATCAAAAAGTATTATAAAGGATATTATTCTGTACTCTAGAATTTAAATCTAGTATTTAGCATCAGATATTCCCTAAAAGACAGTTACTGAGAATTGGTTTCAAATCTTTTTTAACCTACAACCCTAATCTAGCTGTGTTCTTATGAATAACACAAATATAGACCTAAAGATACTTGGTATCTGGTTTCAACCACTCTGCTTATTGGGTGGCTGATATAAGTAAATGTTTTAAAATGTTGCTTCCTGGGAATTCCCTGGCGGTGCGGTGGTTGGGACTCCACACTTCAACTGCAGGGGGCACAGGTTCGATCACTGGTCGGGGAACTAAGATCCCACATGCCGTGCAGCGCGGCCAAAAAAATAAAATAAAAATTAAAAATAAGTAAATAAACATTGCTTCCTAACAGTTGGGTAAGACCCTCCCCCCTTTTTTGTTTTATCATTTAGACTTGTGTACATGAGCTTAATAAATGTAGTTAACCATTGAACAACTTGAGGGTTATGAGCCCTCAACCCTCCCTGCAGTTGAAAATCCCCAAATAACTAACATTGTCCTTCCGTATATGTGGTTCCACATCTTTGGATTCAACCAACCATGGGTTGAGTAATACTGTAGCATTTATCCTTGAATAAGTGAACCCTTGAAGTTCAAACTTGTGTTTAACGGTCAACTGTGTAATTCATGGTATTTGGTTATCAGGTGTCTCTTAAGTGTTTCCTTTTATTCCCATTCAGATGAGTAGTTTGCAGATCAAGGAAGAGAAGGTCAAACCAGATACCAATGGTGAGTCACTAGTAACCACAAGCTACATGTGCACTTCTGCTTTGCACTCATAGGTGCAATGTGGAAAGGAGCTTTCATTTAGCACGTTTGGCAAATGTCAGTACTGGATTTGAGAACCAGTAAATTGGGTTTCATTAATGATGGGGATAGATTAGTTTTCCACATTTTATCTAGCTTCTGACTTCTTAAAATCAAGAATCACTATTGGATTGTACAGTCACTGTTCACTTGATAATGTTTCCTTAAGTTTTTTTTTTTAATTTAATTTTTTGGAAGGTTAATCTGGGTTCAAAATTCAGAAAGTATAAGTAAGTGAAAGGCCTCCTTCCCATCCTGGACTATGATTTACCCAGATCCCACTCCCCACCTATATTACTTTGCTAGGGCTCCCACAACAAAATATCACAAACTAGGTGGTTTAACAACAGAAATTTATTGTCTCAGATCTGGAGGCCAGAAATGTGAGATCAAGGTGTCAGCTGGTTTAGTTCCTCCTAAAGGCTGTGAGGAAGAATCTATTCCATGTCTCTTCCTAGCTTCTGATGGTTTGCTGGCTATCTTTGGCATTCCTTGGCTTATAGGCATTTCTGCCATCATCACCCCAGTCTCTGCCCTCGTGGTATTGTGCATATCTACATCCAGAATTTCCCTTTTTAATAAGAACATTGGTCATACTGGATTAGGGCCCATCCTAACAACCTCATCTTAACTAATTACATCTGCAGTGAACCTGTCTCAAAAGGAGATCACATTCTGAGATACTGGGGGGTCAGGACTTGATCATATGAATTTTTGGGGGGACACAGTTCAACCCATATACCACCCTATGCCATAAGTAACCGCTGTTACTGGATTTTTAATATTCTTCCAAAGTTTCTTTTTTTTAATTGAAGTATAGTTGATTTACAATGTTGTGTTCATTTCTGCTGTACAGCAAAGTGATTCAGTTATACATACGTACACATTCTTTTTTATATATTCTTTTCCATTATGGTTTATCATAGGATATTGAATATAGTTCTCTGTGCTATACAGTAGGACCTTGTTGTTTATCCATTCTACGTATAATAGCTTACATCTGCTAACCTCAACCTCCCACTCCATCCTTCCCCCAACCCCCTCCCCCTTGGCAACCACCAGTCTGTTCTCTATGTCTGTGACTCTGTTTCTGTTTCATAGATAGGTTCATTTGTGTCATATTTTAGATTCCACATATAAGTGATCTCATATGGTATTTGTCTTTCTCTTTCTGACTTACTTCACTTAGTATGATAATCTCAGTTGCACTTCCAATGTTTATGCAAAACAAATACAGATTTTTCTCCCTCTCTCCCTCTCTCTCTCTCTCACCAAAAGATGGCAGAGTATACACAGTGTACTTACTTTTTTTCATTCAACAACATACCTTGGCAAGCTTTCCTTACCAGTAAATGGAGTTTCCTCACTCAGTTTTGTAACTGCATAGTATTACATTGTGTTGATAGACCATAATTTATTTAACCAGTCATCTTTTGATAGATACTTGGGTTGGTCACATTCTTTTGGTGTTATAAAGTGTTTCATGGAATAACCATGAACTTAATTCTTTTTACATGTATGCAAATACGTTTGTAGGATAAATTCCCCCAAAATGGATATCCATGGTCAAAGGCATATGCACTTGCACTTTTTATCAGTATTTTTCAAGGTACCCTCTATAAGTATTATACCAATTTATATTTCTATCAGTAAAGCATGAAAGTGTTTCCCTATAGCCCCACCACAGAATTTTAGTCAAAAACTTGAAATTTTGCTAATCTGACAGGTAAAACATGGTGGATCAGTGTAATACATTTTGTATTTTATTAATAAGGTTGAATATTTTCATAAGTATAAAGGAATTTGTGTTTCCTTTTCTACTGAGCTTTTTGTCTTTTTTCTAAATATGAAGAACTTCATATTTTAAGATTGTGATAGAAGTTGCTAATACTTCAGTCAGTTTTGTCTTTTGACTTTTTTCTTGTGTATTTGCAAACTTTTTTTTTTTTAATTATTTATTTGGCTGCGCCGGGTCTTAGTTTCGGCATGCAGGATCTTCGTTGCAGCACGTGGGATCTTTAGTTGCTGCATTTGGGATCTAGTTCCCTGACCAGGAATGGAACCTGGGCCCCCTGCATTGGGAGCATGGAATCTTAACCACTGGACCACCAGGGAAGTCCCTCTGCAAACATTTTTATATAGTCAAACGTATCAGTCTTTCACATTATCATTTCTGGAATTTGAGTCAGTTTTCATAGCCCAGTCTTTGATCCTTTTGGAATTTTTCCTGGTGTGGATTGTGAGGTATGGATCCAAAGAGTTTTCTCTAGTGTGTTTCACCTTTTTATTGTCAGGATGGCTACAGATTTGTTTCAGTGCCGCTTTTGTAATAGTCCATTCTTCCTCTCTAGTTTGAGATCCACCTGTATTATATGCCAAATTCTGCATTTTCTCATCTATCCTATCAAGCTTATTTTGCATATTCATGTACCAGGATCATATTCCTGATTGCTGGAGCATTATGACATGCTTTAATGTCTGTGACTGCTGGTCCCCATTCACTGATTTTTTTTTTTTTTTTTTTGGTTGTGCTGCACAGCATGTGGGATTTTAGGTCCCCAACCAGGGATCAAACCCATGCCCCCTGCAGTGGAAGTGCAGAGTCTTAACCACTGGACCGCCAGGGAAGTCCCCATTGATCTTTTTTTAGAGTGTTCCTGGCTATTCTTATTTTCCATACGTATTCTGTTATAGTCAATTTGACTAGTTCTAAGAAGACAAAGAATGTTTTAGTATTTCCCCTAGGACCATGTTACATTTATAACTTAACATCTATATGCTATTGAGTCTTTTTATAAAACCTATGATTAAGTCTTTCCATTTTTTTCAAATCCCTTTTTGTGTCCTTTAGGAATGTTTTAATGACTGTAGCATATGTGATGCCCCTTCTTTCATTTCTATTACTGGCGGTATGTGTTTGTTCTTTTTTGATGAGTCTGCCTAGAGACTTATCAGGTTTTTTTATCTTTTCAAAGAGCTAGGCTTCGGCAGTGTTAATTTTCTTGAATATTTGTCTTTTATTTCATCAATTTCTACTCTGTATTTTTTTCCTTCTACTTACTTTGGGTTTATTACTTTCCTCTTCTTTTTTATCATATACTTCAAATAGTTTCAGTTTCCCTTTTGATTTCTTCATTGGCCCATGGATAATTTAGAAGTGTGTTGTTTGATTTCCAGATATTTGGGGGGTTTCTAGATATCTTATTAATTTCTAATTTAACTCCATTTTGATCAGAAACCATTAAATACGATTCTGCAGTTATTGGGTATAGTGTCCCCTAAATGTCAATTAGGCCACCGTTGTTGATAGTGTTAACTCAGATCTTCTATGTCTTAACTGTTTTTTGTTGTTTGCTTTTTGGTCTAGTTCTTCCAGTTGTTGAAAGAGAAGTGTTAAAATTTCCAACGACAACTGTGGAATAGTCTTATTTCTCCCTTTAATTTTGTCAGTTTTGGCCTCCTGTGTTTTGCAGATCTGTTGCCAGGTACATTCACATTTATGTCTTCCTGATGAATGGACCTCTTATTAGAAATATCCTCCTTTATCTCTGGTGGTGATTTTGGTCTTAAAATCTGCATTACCTGAGCCACTCCAGCCTTCGTATGCTTACTGGTTGCGTGATGTATCTCTTTCCATCCACTGACTTTCAACTTATTTGTGTCTTTACATTTAAAGTGTGTCTCTTGTAGGAGTATAATCTATAAAAATTTTGAATCACTATGTTGTACACCTGAAACTAATACAATATGGTAAATTAACTATACCTCAATTTTAAAAAATTAAAAAATAAAGTGTGGGGCTTCCCTGGTGGTGCATTGGTTGAGAGTCCGCCTGCCGATGCAGGGGACATGGGTTCGTGCCCCAGTCCGGGAAGATCCCACGTGCCGTGGAGTGGCTAGGCGCGTGAGCCATGGCCGCCGAGCCTGCATGTCCAGAGCCTGTGCTCCGCAACAGGAGAGGCCACAACAGTGAGAGGCCCACGTACCACAAAAAAATAAATAAATAAATAAAAATAAAGTGTGCCTCTTGTAGACAGCTGACGGTTGGATCTTGCTTTTTTAGCCATTCTAATAATCTTTTTTTTTTTTTTTTCCTTGCGTTATGCGGGCCTCTCACTGTTGTGGCCTCTCCCATTTGCGGAGCACAGGCTCCGGATGCGCAGGCTCAGCGGCCATGGCTCACGGGCCCAGCCGCTCCGCGGCATGTGGGATCCTCCCGAAACGGGGCACGAACCCGCGTCTCCTGCATCGGCAGGCGGACTCTCAAGCACTACGCCACCAGGGAAGCCCTAATAATCTTTTAATTGGAGTATTTTATCCGTTTGCATTTAATGTAATTATTGATGTGGTTGGGTTTAGGTTAGCAATTTTACTGTTTGTTTGTCCCTTTATATTTTGTTTCTCTGGCTCTTTTCCTGCTTTCTTTTGGGTTAATTGAATATCTTAAGAGTTTCATTTTAATTTATTTATGAGCTTTTTAGCTTTATCTCTTTGCATTAGTTTATGAGTTTTAAAGTTTTCTTCATATAAGTCTCACATATTTTTTGTTAATTTTATTTCTAGGTGCAATATTTTATCTTTTTAGTTGCTATTATAAAGAGGATTTTTTCAAGAATATCTCTATTTATAAAAGCTACTGATTTCTATTTATTTATTTTGTACCTAGCTCTTTTCTCTTTTACTGAGATATCTTATTTTGTAGTCATTTTTAAGTTGATACTCTTAGTCCTACAAGTTTACAATCTTTTTTTTTTTTTTGCGGTACGCAGGCCTCTCACTGTTGTGGCCTCTCCCGTTGCGGAGCACAGGCTCCGGACGCGCAGGCTTAGCGGCCATGGCTCACGGGCCCAGCCGCTCCGCGGCATGTGGGATCTTCCCAGACAGGGGCACGAACCTGTGTCCCCCGCATCGGCAGGCGGACTCTCAACCACTGCCCCACCAGGGAAGCCCCTACAATCTTTTGTAATCTAAAAAAAGTGATCATTTTACCTCTTCCTTTTAATTTTTAATACCTTTATTTTCTTTCTCATGTCTAATTGTGTCTGCTAACATAATGCTATATTTTAAATATAGTTATAATAATGCTATATTTTAAATAAGTAAGTCAGAGGTGACATATCTGATCACTGAAGTCAGCCAGCATTTCTAGAAATTTGAAAATTTCTTATGCACTAAACTTCCTAGGAATAAAAATCCATTAAACGTATAGAAACGCCAACTATTTAAATTTTGATCACTTAAATAAGGTTTGATATTTATATTGTCCCACCTTTTGAGTGGATTTTTTTTTTAATAAATTTATTTATTTATATATATTTTTGGCTGTGTTGGGTCTTGGTTGCTGTGCATGGCCTTTCTCTAGTTGCAGCGAGTGGGGGCTACTCTTCATTGCATTGTGTGTGCTTCTCATTGTGGTGGCTCCTCTTGTTGTGCAGCACAGGCTCTAGGTGCGCGGGCTTCAATAGTTGTGGCTCATAGGCTGTAGAGCGCAGGCTCAGTAGTTGTGGCGCACTGCTTTAATTGCTTCGCCACATGTGCAATCTTCCTGGACCAGGGCTTGAACCCGTGTCCCCTGCATTGGCAGGCAGATTTTTAACCACTGCACCACCAGGGAGGTCCCCTTTTGAGTGGATTTGATACTTGCCTTTCTGATTATGATAACTCTTTTCTTGTGTAGGTGTTATCAAAACTAATGCCACTCCAGAGAAAACAGATGAAGAAGAGAAAGGTAACTAATCTTTGAAACCCTGTAGCAAGAGACATAGTATCACCTAGCACGTGCCTCTCTGGAGCCAGAGGCATTCTGAGTTATAAGATCAAGGAGATGAGGAGAATCAGCCAAGGAAATTGAAAACAGTGAGATAGAAGGAGAACCAAAAGAGAGTGGTATCCCGGAAACCAAAAGAAGGAAGTGTTTCAAAGGTAGGGAGTCATATATAGGTAATAAGTTGGTTAAGAGAACTAAAAATTGTTCAGTTGATTTAGAGTATAGAGTCACTGGTGAGCTTGACAAGGGCTGTTGAGGTCAGATGGGGAGGTTAGTTTAAAAAAACCTCTTCAGTGAAGAGAAAGTGAAGACATGAGTATAGACAGCCCTGTCAGGGAATGTTCCATAAAAGGGAGCAGAGAACTCGGACAGTAACTGGATGGGGATGTGGGATAAAGGAGGAAGCACATTTACGATGAGAGGTGTTACAACGTGTGTACATGCTGGTGGGAATGATCCATTAGCGGGAGAAACTGATCATGCAAGAGAGAAGGTCACTGCTGGGAGAAATATCCTTGTCTGAAAGACGGAATGGGACCCATTGTATAAGTAGAGGGGCTAGCCTCAGAGCATGGCGGTCCATCCACAGTTACAGCAGGGAAGGTGGAAAGGACACTCACAAACGCAAGTGGGTGTGTGGGTTGTCACGGCAGCGCTTGGAGGTGCTTCTGATTACGTTCACTTCTCAGGGAAGTGAGAAGCAGGGTCATTAGATGAGTGAGATTGTGGAGAGGTTAGCAGTTGAAGAGAGAAGAAGAGTGAATAAGTGGCGTATGGAAACATAAAGTCTTGCTGGGCAGCTCAGCCCACTTGAGTCTAGCAGTCAGGAGTTTAAAGTGAGACCTTTTGGTGTGATTATGTTTTTCTCCCACCTTGCTGGGCCATTCAGGTGTGGGTGCAGACATGGGGAGAGAGGTTTCACAAGGGTGGGGTTTGCCCAGTGAGTATGAGGAAGATCTACTGGTTGTTTCCTACAGAGGACAGAGCCGCTCAGTCCTTACTCAACAAGCTGATCAGAAGCAACCTTGTCGATAACACCAACCAAGTGGAAGTCCTGCAGCGGGATCCAAACTCCCCACTCTACTCGGTGAAGTCCTTCGAGGAGCTTCGGCTGTGAGTATCCGTTCCTTTGAACAACTGTTCCTTGCTAGTCCCTCCTTTATAAGACTTAGCATATCAGAGATCTTGTGGGAATTTTACTTTCTACTTTTGTTTTCTAAAAATCTTAGTATATCTACTTTCTTTGACTAGTTAATAATTCACATGATTCAGAAGTTTAAAAGTATGAAAAAGTGATGGTCTCCCTCCACCCTTGTCTCTTGGCTACCCAGTTCTTCTCCTTAGGGATTTTTAAATGCCACAAATTTATTCATCATAGCTGAAAGTCTTTTTTCTTTTATGCTCTTAGAACTTTCAATAAAATATTGGCTGACAGGTGATTTCTGGATATCAGGAACATTTCTTATTAGGTAAGCCCTTTTGTTAGACTGTAGGGTTTACAGTGTTAAGAACAGTTTATCTGCTTTTATAAAATCTGTCCAACGGGCTTCCCTGGTGGCGCAGTGGTTGAGAGTCCGCCTGCCGATGCAGGGGACACGGGTTCATGCCCCGGTCCGGGAGGATCCCACATGCCGCGGAGCGGCTGGGCCCGTGAGCCATGGCCGCTGAGCCTGCGCGTCCGGAGCCTGTGCTCCGCAATGGGAGAGGCCACAACAGTGAGAGGCCCGCGTACCGCAAAAAAAAAAAAATCTGTCCAAGAAGCCTGTGCAGGATTCCCAGTAACTGCAGTGGAAATCAGCCTTCAGTGTTGCAGAATTTTTTAAAAAATCCAGAACCCAGAATTAAGCCTTACGTGTGCACATTTATGCATTGTGGTGAGAATGACTTCTAACATGTCCTTGTTTTAAAGGCAGAGAATTATGTAATGTTATGCCAAGTTTTTCGTTTCCTTCAGTAAGTTAGTAAAGAGGTATTTAGGGTCGTTGGTTTATGTACATGACCCTGGGCTGGGTGTTATGAGTAACACAAGACATAGCTACCCTCCTTGCTGCCTGCCAGGACTCAAATCATAGACAGAAAATAGCTAGTGAATAAGAAGGTGGTGGAATGAATGGATTCTTTGCCTTTGTTTAGCAAAATCTGTCATATGCCCACTGTACGCAAATAGGGGCCACGTTTCTGCCAACTATTGCCACCATTTTAGAGTAAGAGACACTTAAAATAAGAGAGCTAACTAGAACCAAATCAAGTTGTTAATGCAGCAATAGCTAAGAGCAAGGTTTTTAAAGTGTGGCCTTTCTTTTTTGAATATTTTCAGGACATTATACTTTTCTACGTGTATTTTCTCTGTCAAAGGCTTTTTTCAGCAAATCTGTCATCTCTGCTTCCATTCATAAATTCTGTCCGAGAAGCTAGATGTGCTCTGACAGCTTGCTTTTCCAAGTATCAGTGGTCTTTTTAAGTTCCTTTCATTTAAAGGACTGGAGTTCTCAGGTCCACCAGTGATGAACTGTCCTCTTTGAAAAGGCAAGTTCTTTTTGATTTAATTGTTAGTAGCCAAAGAAAACAAAGAATAATACCTAGGTCACCTAATATACTTGGTCTATTTTTTACTGAAAAGATCTGCAAAATAAAAATAATGAGCCACTGAAAGTTCTTGGATCACTTCGAGTCCTCTTTGGCAACCAAATCAGAATCTGCTAAGCTTCACAACCTTTTCTTCCAAATGGATGTTACTTTTCAAAGTTCTTTGTGTCTGGGAACCACCATATGCCAGAAGAATTGCCTTTTAGAGAGCCTGTTAAACTCTAAGGAAGGCTTAGAGAACACTCTTGACTTGGTTTGACTTTATTTTAAAAACAGTGTGGTGGGATTTTTGTTAAACACCCTGTCAATTTAGAGGTAGCAGAGAGCTTATTATAAATGTACTACAAAAGCAGCTTTATTTGATATTTGTTGTGTGGCTACTTATGTAAGAAGTTGGTGCTTTTCTAGTTTTGATTTTGACTAGACAAAATAAGTAAATCTAATCACTCATGAAGTTCAGTATGATAACTGAACTCCCTTTACCTATTTACTAGAAACTGGCTGAATCAATTTTCTTACCTCTCAATTGTCCCGAGTTCTTGCATAGCTGGCTTTGGAAGGCCCATGGAACACAAAATGACTGTGGTTCAGTGGAGCATCTGCACTGAGAAATGAAAACTGAAATCTCATTCCCTAAAGGGACTTGTGTATCTTAGCAGCATAGTAAGAAGTGTTTATTTTTAGATGTCTTTTATAATTTATTTTATACTATGAATTAATAAGTACCATTCTTCCAGTGTCCTGGGAATGTTTGTCATCCAAGGCCAACCAAATTTGTGGGTCTCCTGAAAGACGAATTTCTCCAAGAAAGGAAACTAGCCTGGATTTTGTAAATTGCCTAATAATTTCAGATTAAGATTTAGTAGGGAAA